GATAAAGGTGTTATTATTTATACTGTCTGTTATTGATGATGTCAGTTTTTCTATGGCACCATTAATGTCTTCTTTTGTGTTTAGCGGGATTTTGAGGTCTAGTTTGTTTTCCAAATCATCACGAAATTTGTCCCAGTTTACTCGTCCAGTGATCAGTTTAGGAAGTGATGGTTTAGGAGCAAAGTCAGAATGTAGTGAAAGCAGAACTGGACTATGGTCTGAAGAAAGGTCATCCAGGGATTTGATTATAGTTTGGGAGGAGGAAATCTGGGAGGTGATAAATATGTCCAGGATATCGGGACGTTTTTTGAGGGATGTTGGAAAATAAGTAGGATTCATGGGCGAGAGGATGGAATAATTGTTGGAAGAGGAAACTTGTGAAAGGGTATTACCACGGGAGTTGGATGATCGACAACCCCATCGTTGGTGTTTAGCATTGTAGTCTCCTCCAGCAATAAAGCGCGATCCGAGGGATTGTAAAAAGGATTCAAGTAGGCTGTACGAGAGGGAATTGCCAGGAGGACAGTATACAGCTGAAAGTGTTAGATGGAAAGGACGAGTTGAGAGGATTACAGAAGTTGACTGAATGGCATCTGTTGGAATAAGGGAATGGGGTAAAGATTTGTGGATAAGGATGCAAGAACCGGCGTGGGCAGTGTTGTCTGGGTGGTCAGATCTATAGGTGATGTAGTCACGTATGTAGAAATGTGTCCGTTGGGTGAAGTGAGTTTCTGTTAGGAGAGCAATGTCAATATAATTGTCATGGAGAAATATGTCTAGCTCGTCACGGTGGTTTTTGCAGTCCATTAGCGTTCCATAAGAGAATAGCTAGGGACTTTGAGTTCATCGAGGGAAGCTAAGCGGGATTTCAGAAAGGAGTCTGGTTAGAAGGGTTATGAGCGGTTTGATAGTCTGTTGAAGATCTATCAGGAATGACGATAAGATAGTGTTGATGTCGGATGGTGTTTGGCTGAGAAGTGGGTTTGGATCAGGAGGTTGTGATGGGTAGGTTATGCGACCAGGAATGTTGGGTGGGGGATGGGCCCGTCGTGGGGTACGAGGAGGAGGAGGATCTAAATTCTGTTGGACTTGTGGAGGGGGGTTCATCCTGGGATTAGGAACGAATGGAGCTCGATGTGGATGCTCTGGCGGGAGTTTGACTCTTAAGGGTAAATGATGAGGAGGGATTTGCTGGCGAGGAGGTTGAGGCTGAGTATTAGGGATTTTGGGCTTGGATTGGAAGGCCTGAGGCGCCTGACGTTGAGGTTGCTTCTTACTGATGGAAGACTGGGAGTGAGAATTTCTGAGATTCTGGTGAGGTGAGTCCTTAGCTGTAGAGATGTATGGTTGTTGTTGGATGACGAGGGAAGGTGAAGTCGGCAATGCTGGGAAAATTTCCTGATTTTCAATCTCAGGTGGCTCAGTGTAAGTTTTCTGAGCAGATCCAAGATTTTTCACCGCTGAGTTTCGTGATCTTGGTTTGTAAAGATTTTTATACACTTCACATCCTCTGTAGCTCGCAGGATGGGCTTCGCCACAAAGAGCACACATCGCAGGCTCATCTCTTGGCTTATGGCAAGTGTCTGAAGCGTGTAGGCCGGCACATTTAACGCATCTGACTTCGTGATAACAATAGGCCTTTGTATGGCCCAAGTTTTGACACTTAGTGCATTGTACAATTAGAGGCTTCTGTTTCGGTTCCTCAAACGGACTATTGAGTAAACCAATCGTTGAACCTGGAATATTTCAACATTGGTTTTTGCTGGTTCCAAGTCTATAAAAAATAATGGTAGCGGATATCTTTCTCTAGGATGTAGTACAGGTGCTATGTGCCTGACATTATGACCGATTTCTTCGAGGCCCGATTTGATAGCAGATATGGGTGTGGTTGAATGTAGTCCTCTCAGGACCACTCGATACGCCTTTTCTTGTTTTAATTGGTAACAGTGGAAGTCGTAGTTATTGGTTCTTAAAAAATTGATTAGTTTTTTATAATTGTCTCTAGAATTAGTATTAATTTTGATGTCGTTCACTCTCGTGTAACATCGAAAATTTGGCTGTCCGATCAAATCTGCAATTTGTTGACCAAACGACATAAAGTTCTTAATTTTTGAAACAAATATTGGCGGCTGCTCAGGATCAGAAAAATCTTGAAGCTGCGGAGTCTTGTGAGATAAGTTGTTTTGTTTTTGCTTTCTGATGTTTTTGGTGCAGTTGGCTCTGATTGAGTGGCATTAGATTTGCTCCTAGTTCTCGGTGGAGATTTATCTTGTTCTGGTTGCTTATTTGATTTATTTTTCTTTTTTTTTTTTTATTAGGTGAGTTTTGTCCCGATCCGGGAACTGAGTTTCGGAGACGCTTTTGGAGTGTACGCCTTTTCAAATATTGCGAGTCGGTCTCGCTAATTTCCGAAAAGGGTGTCTCATCCTCCGTGTCTTCACATGATGTGTTCTTATCCAGATCCATCATGATAAGTGTTAGAGAAAATTAAGAAAAAAAAATATATGTATATATATATAAAACTAAATATTAAAATTAAAATTTATGAGATAACTTCTTAAACACCAAGCTATTTACAAAATTATTTACATAAATATATACAGATATAAAATATAATATAAAATAATTCATTTCCAAAAAATAAATAATCAAAGAAAAAAATGAAATAAAAGAGTCTCTGGAAAGAAAAAAAAAAAAAGAAAATATAAAGAAAAAAAAAATGAAGTTAAATGTCTTGGATTCGAACTGAGAATAACACTGAAGAATGTTATTGTACACAGTGCCGAGCCTTGGCTTGAACTTATCGCAGATAAGGTAAAACCCGCAAGGGAATTACTAGCCACATGGGCTAACCAAACGAGCACTAATTTATAACTGTTTCATTGTTAATAAATAGTCACTCACCTGATCATATGTGAATATAAAAATATAAAACTATTAATATAGTCACTGTTGAAAAAGTCTTAGAGCAGTATTTTAAATAATAAGCACATTAGATCGTATCAAAGGCAGAGCGACGTGTAACTTGAATTGCACTAGCGGCCATGACACTTGCTACTCAACCGTATATCTATCTCTATTACTCCTAGTATCCCGCTGAAGCATCTTCATCCTATAGGCATTCTTTTGTTCAATTGCATTTGCACATTCTTCATCGAACCATTCTGAATTTACTCTACTATTTGTCTCTCCTAATACCTGCTCCGCTGCTCCTTGCAATATTTCTCTTATAGCAGACTACTCATTTTCAACGTCATCCTTCACATCATATTGTTTGTTGCCTCATACATCAAATTCAGCCAATCGGTGCCCGTTTCCATTTGTTGCATTGTGCAGTATAAATTTCCCTGCCTCTTTCCCAATCTGGGCATTAAAATCTCTTATGATTACCATCATATCATCATATCATAGCATCATATCATCACGCTATGATGACGGCCCCACGCTAAACGCCCATACCAGGAGAACCGGTGCCTTTGATTTTAGGGTGTCGTCCTCTAGGAAGTTGCCTTCACTTCTGCTGTAGAACTCTCTCTGTCTTTCCGCTCTGTACCTGTAGACAAGGTAAGTATGTCTCAGAAAGCTGGCGTTGACCCCGGTAGAGTTCGTCCGTCACCATTCCTTACGTGCAAATTCAGCTGCAAAGTTGCATAACTGGATACCGCCCCTGTTAAAATTTTTTAACTAGTATTTTTTTTTAATTAATGATGTAATCATCCTCATTATCAACAACCTTTTGCCTCCTAGTGTGCAAATTTACAATGCCGGATCGATAAAAATCAATTGTTTTTTTTTTAAATTTACTTTATAGAGAAAATTTTAAATGTTTAATAGATATTTCCGAGATTTATTGATTCCATCGTTTCTTAAATTTTACATGTATATTGATATAAATGATTTAAAATAGCCCTCTTCTACAATAGCCCTCCTAAATTTGAACTCATAAACTTTGTTCATTATATGAAATGCATTATAATAATGAAATACTAGAAGAGGAATTGATTTATATATATTCCAAATTTTCCAATCTAGTCTCTACTTTACAGGTGCAAATATTCTTCTAAGGATTTTTCTTTCAAAGACCAGAAGGTCTTTTTCGTCATTTTCGGTTAAAGTCCACGTTTGGCTTCCGTAGGTAAGAATTGGCCGGATGAGCGTATTATAGAGCTACAGCTTCGTTCGTCTACTAAGTAGTGAGCTTCTCATGTGCTTAAGTAGGCCAAAATATCATCGGTTGGCAACTATTATTCTCCGCTTTATTTCAAGTGACGTATTTGAAATCCCAGATAAGGGAACTGGTGTTCATTCTCAAAGGTGTAAGTGCCTAGAGATATTCTTTGGTTTTGAGGATTCTCTTCTTCTCCTGTATACATATATTTTGTTTTATTCTCATTAATGTGGAGCCCAATCTTCGCTGCAGCTTTCTGCAATTCAAGACAGTAGGTCGACAGTCTTAGTGCCTTCTTGCAGGCAGTCCACATGAAACTGTAATCCCCATGGTATTTCTTCTTTATTATAATCATCAATTGAAACCTTCTAAATTCATAATTACATCTTTCGACTTGATTTATAGGCGTTATTGTTCATTTTATATTAACTGATCTTTACTTTCCTTGGAGAGTTGGTTCGAAACGAGTCTAGTAGGGCTTGTCATATGCAGCCAGGCTTGTATCCATATTAGCATTCTGTACACTACGGCAGTTTAGTCCATGCTGTAAATCATGTGTTCACTGGTTGTAGTTTAAGCAATGAAATAGAACTGTTAAACTAATCAGTAATTTTTTAGTTCATAATAAAACACATTGAAACTGTTAACATTGTAAAACGAACTAAAACTGTTAATGATTTTACTGAATTATAAAATTCGTAGATAAGATTTTTTTGTAGTTCTGAAATTATAAATTCCAAAGAAGAAGAAGCTCTAACATATGCAGGTTTTCAAATCAATTTTTATTTTAATTCATCAGATAAAAATTCCAAAGAGAATATATCTGTAGTTTGGTAACCAAAATGGCTCCGCAGATAGCGCTGTGGGATACGAGTTTAGCCATTTAAACTGCCGGTTTGTTTTGCTCAGTTCTCTGTATCAGTTTTGTTTATTTAGGTTATTTGTTTAGTTATGTCTGGTCGCAATGAATGTAGGATTTACGTTGGAAACTTGCCACCAGATATTAGAACGAAAGACATTCAAGATTTATTTTATAAATTTGGTAAGGTAACGTTTGTTGATCTTAAAAACCGCCGAGGCCCGCCTTTTGCTTTTGTAGAATTTGAAGATCCACGAGATGCTGAAGATGCTGTTCATGCTAGAGATGGATATGATTATGATGGTTATAAGTTAAGAGTTGAATTTCCCAGAGGTGGAGGCCCTAGTGGTTATAGAAATAGAGGAGGGGCTAGTATGGGAAGTGGCTTTGGAGGAAGAGGCAGAGGGCCACCAGCTAGAAGATCACAATATAGAGTTATTGTTAGTGGTCTCCCTCCTTCAGGGAGCTGGCAAGATTTAAAAGATCACATGAGAGAAGCCGGTGACGTTTGTTTTGCTGATGTATTTAAAGATGGAACTGGTGTCGTTGAATTTTTGCGTTATGATGATATGAAATATGCTTATAAGAAGCTAGATGATTCTCGGTTTCGTTCTCATGAAGGTGAGACTTCATACATTCGAGTGAAAGAAGATTATTATGGAGGAAGAGACAGCTATGACAGAAGTAGTGGTGAAAGAGGTGGCAGGTCAAGAAGCAGAAGTGCATCACCACGTAGACGAGGATCTCCTACTTATTCACCTGTGCGTAGAAATAGTTTTTCTCCTGACTCACGATATAGGTCAATGAGCCGTTCAAGATCACATTCTCGGTACTAAATATATTTTAAAGTATCTCTGAAGTGAAGTTTGTTAACATTTGGTAACCAATGTGTGTTTTGATAATGGTTTGTTACCAAAAGAAAACATACATTCCTTTACTATATGTTATATGTAATTTATAGTATGTCTAAACTAATTTTTCAACCTTATCAATTTAGTTAAACCATAGTTTAATATTTTTTTTGAATTTTAAACAGTTTTTTGATCATTTTAGGTTTCTATAAATAAAGCTGTGCTAAAACACATTGTGTATTTTTATTATTGAAGTTAGGATATGTAATTTTTATACAAGAAATTAATATGTGGGGGATTTTACATAACTGCACGTACCATAATTTACCATGGTGATCTTTTTGACACATGTTTGACCTAATCTTAGTGAAGCTATTGAAGGGAAGAAAAGTTTCAGAATACTATGTACAGCTGATTTGTTTTTAATGAAGGGAGCAATCATTAAATTATAGTGGAAAATAACAATAATTGTTCTCTTATGTACAGTTTCATGTTTGTGTAGTGGTTCTTGCACTTAATTGTTCATATTCATGCCTATGGCTCTTGACATGATGTTATCGATAGGTATTATGTTATTGATAGGTATTCATTTCTGTTCTGATCAGCTGTAAGTAGTTTTCTTTTTCTTATATCACTTCCAATTTTATTTGTGGGTATTGCCAATTTGTTTTAGAGTGTGTTGTATAATATGTTTGTGAAACAGTTTAGTTAAGCCGGTGACTTGTATTGTGGCCATTTATGCTTGAATATGTTTTTATAAATACCATTCCAGCAGTATTTAAGTTTCATTATTCATACCATACCTATTCAAGTAAATCGGTAGTTCTGATATGATAACAGTCTAATTACAAATATACCATAGACTGCTTGAAATTATTCTTATCCAATATTATTTTTATAATTTGTAGATTATTCTAGCAATCAGATACTTTTCATATGTATTTTTAATAGCAATAAAATCTTTCTATGAACAGTGATTAATTTTATCATTCCACATGTTTATTTTATGGGTTTATTCAAGGTCAAGAGTTAGATTAATAAAAGGTTTACTACTGGTTCTGCAATGCTCATATTGCTTTGCTTAAGAAAATGCCATATTTTAAACTTGTGCCATTTTTTTATTCATCTTCAGTACCAAGTTGAAATATTTGTTAATGTTCAATTAAATTGCTGAGTACAATAACTTATAAATGTATGTACTATATTTAGAATTGTATTACTTAACCAGTTAGGTGGTTACAAATATATATGTCTTGTCATATATTTCTAACAGCTACAATGCAAATTTTTTTCCTGAGCTCGATTTTCAAAATTTTTACATTCATGTATTAAATATTTTTAACAGAATATGATTAAATATTGTTAATTTTAAGTTTTAATTTTTGAACTTCTAAACTGTTTCTTTTTTTGCTGAAATACTGGTACAAATAACTGATAAAATATTAATTGAAAAATTCATGTTAACAAAATATAGCAATAAATTAAACAAAGATAATAATTATGAAAAATAAACAAATAAAATAATCATATATTTTCTTATATTTATAAATATGTATAATTATATTATTTTAATTAATATTATTTTTTATGCCAGCAAGCTGACAATTTCTATAATTCTAGTGTTAACATACCCCACTCATTTTTCTTATATTTTATTATCAATATAAGATTTTATTTTGCCTAATCTTTTTTTTTTATATTTTATTTTTATTTTTTTACATGTAGAATACATCACAATTTTAAGATTGTGTTGACTAAATAGATATTCAGAAACAATTTCTGATTGCAAGTAATAAAATATAGTTATTAACTCTTAATTTTTTTGTTGTTCATTGTTTTATTATAGTTTCTAATATTATAGTTTAAAAATTAATAAAAATACCATCTGCACTAAAACCAATTAAATGAGATTTTATACTCTGTTTTTAGCAAATATTTTGTCAATACAATATATGAAATCTCACTTTTTTTTTTTTTGTGTGACCTGTGATATTTTATATTAAATTAATAGTGGAATACACTTTTGATTTGTAAAATTATTTATCACATAAAATATTTGGCAATGATAACCGTCAGCAGTTTTTTGCCCCTAAACCCAAAACAACAACATAAAATATTTAATGTGTGTTGTAACAAATGAAATTCTATATCAAATAATGAAATTTATGAATTAACTTATAATAGTACCTCCTAAAATAACATTAATGTTGAAAGAATTAGAATATATTTTTTTCTTGGTTTAACAGATCTTGTAGGCGGCCTTATACTGCTTCTCTACCTTTTTCTATCTTGGGCTATTTCTTTGCCGTCTTATCTCTGCAATTCTGCTGCATCTTTGTTGATTTGATAAATATATCCATCTGGTTTTTGGCCTTCCACCTGTTCTCTACCCTCCTAATGAAGCATTCATTGTTGTGTAGAGGCTTCCTGATGGATTACTTACTTACTCACTATGCAGCTTTATAGCTCGGGGTGGACCTTGGCTTCCTGGATTATTGCATGCCAATCTCTATTCTTTGCCCTATCATTCCAGTTTCTCACAGCCGGCTTATAAGATGGATGCGACAGGATTGCTGCTGTCCATTCTAGCCACATGGCCTAACCATTCTATTCGCTTAGTTTTAACAAAATTAACTATGTTGCCACTATTATATAGTTCATATAGCTCCGAATTTTTTCAGTACCTCCACACAACCTCTTCACAAACAGCTCCATAATTCTGAAAGTATTCTTTCAAAAATATTCTGCATACTAATTGTACTTGCACAAAGGGTCCATGTTTTTGCTGCATAAGTTACAATAGGTCTTAATAAAGTCTTATATATTCTTATTTTTATTTCTTGTGACAGGAGCGATGATCAAAAACATATTTGATTGATAAAGTATTTCCGGTTTCCAGCCATGATCCTCTTGCGTATCTCAGCAACAATTTTATTTATTTTTTTTCGTGATGGATTGCTTTGAATTAAATGTCCTGCCCATCTTAACCTTCTTACCTTCATGTCATGAGGCATTGATTTACCAGTTTCTATCAGCAGTTGGTTGCTGATCTTCCTCCTCCATGTAGTAGTGATTTGATCCCTCTGGTTATTGTGAGGACTAATTTCCTCTCAAATCTCACCAGATTTTTCTTGGATACTTGTTTTGCAAATATATATAAAACTGGTTTTATCATAGCTTTGTACATCTTTAATATATGATTTTGAGAGATTTTTCATGATTTCAATGCTATAGAAGCTTTCAAAGCTCTACTTGCGGTTGTTATAGGCTAGTCTATTGCTGAGTATATTTTCCTACAGTTTTTAATGTTATAATCTTATAGGTTGAAACCTAAAAATTTCCTCAATAAATGGTCTAACAAAAATAATATTGTTAAAATAGAAGAGGTGTTTCTTAAAATTAGTTAGTGCACTCATGCAAACAAATAATTCAACTGCATATATTAGGAAATATTAATATTAAATGTTATTATTTAAAGTCAATAGGTAAATTTCATCATTTTTAAAAGAAAAATTTCATTTGTTATACCCACACTGAATATTTTATTTTAGTAATTAATTTATTAAAAAATATCCCAGGCCACGGAAAAAATAAAATAAGAGCTTTCAAATAATTTATTGTAAATATTTTTGCTGAAAACACTCGTGCTATGTGGAGATAGAATTTCACATTACAAAAGTTTTATACGACACTGAAGGTGAATCTCAGCTTAATTTGTTATGGAGCTTGACCTAGACTTATTCTTCTTGAAATAATTAAAACATGGCATAGTAATTTTAAGATTTTAGACCATTTTGAGCTATCAAATATTTTTTGTACTGAATGGTCTCGTGTCAAAATCATATTTTCTTCCACACACCTTTTTGGCTTGAGCAGGGCTCTTGGTACCTAGGCCATATTCAAATCTCCTCTAAGCCCAGCATGCCGCATTAAGACATCCTCTAAGTCTCACGGGGCAAGGCTGGTGATGAAAAAAACAAACTTGTTCTATACATTGCACTTCAGTAGTGAAAAATATTTTTAAGAGAAACAACTCATCCAATAAATGTCGTATCCTTGTGGTCGAGTGATGTACTAGATTTTATATTTTTATAATATTTTTTAAAATTTTACCATGTAATCAAAGAAACTTTCTGGACTCGATTGGAGGTCCTTGCAAATGAAGCCATAGTTTGGAAACACCTGGGCTAGAGTAATGATTGAAAACTTAAGACATGTCTTCTTTATTCAGAGCTCAGTAGATATAAACCAATACCTACATAAACTGTCAACTAATAGTTCAGTTTTCAAAGGAATGTGAAAAGGTTAGAGATATAAGATATAAATTCATTTATATCCTACTATTTTGATTAGAAAAGAATAGGATATAAATGAATTTAATGATATGATACTTAGGACAGCTATGTTAATGAGATACTAACACTATGTTACGCATTTTAGAGATCGAATTGTTTTGATATTTGTTTCTGTTTATCTGATGATTTTTATTAGGTGCTCCATGCAAGAAAGGGAAAGGTGCCTTTACACCATTATTTTTTTTTATTAATTTATTTTTCTTTGGCATAAGGTAGGATGTAAAGGGTTTCATAACAAGAATTGCACATAACCTAAACAATTATATTCGTAAAGATATGACAAACAATGTTTGTATTTAACATGTTTACTTTTAACTTACATGCTATATTCTCCTTTATTTTTATTTTTGATCATACTTATTTTCCATTTATTTGTATCTTCTACATATATAATTCTTAATATTTAACTACATTGTCACCCACTATATCTCTGATACCATTTTTTATTTCTGTATCTGACAACTTCTTGTTATTTTATTTCTACTTATATTTATTTTTTATTTTCAACATGTTTTGTATCTTTTGTAGCCCTGAAGACGACCTGCAAGGTGGGTCGAAACGTCGGCAAAAATTAAAATAATTAATATATTTTAATTTATTATTTATTTGACCGCACCCCCGACTAACTCCTTCTCACCTATAAAAAAATGATTCAAGTTTAGAGGAATTAGGTTTGGTTGATTACAACATGTTGGTGGCAACTGTTGGAAATGAACTTGTCATCATTAAGAAATGTTGAGTCTCATGCTATTTGGCAGATTGCTCCTTACCTTGACTTTTAGTTAAATGTTATATTAATAGATTATTTATGACAGATTTCATTTATGAAGTATTATAATATTAGGTCATAATTAATGAAAAACCATTCAAGGTTTCGCCAAATTCTATTATATCAAGGACCAAATGTTTGGTATTCATTTATATTCCTCAATGAATTAATTGTCAGTTACTGACATAAATATTCAATGCAGCCTAAAAACTATAGAGATCAAACCTCATCTTCTATATCCAATTTATCCTTTTACTTTTTTTTTTAAGGTTAAAAGGTTAACTTTGTGATATGGAATGAGATAGGTAGATCTCTTTAGTTTTAAGTCTGTATTTTATTTAAATTTTCTAAAATTTTAATAAATAAATGCACTTTTCAGTAGATAATCAAGAAAAATAACAAGGTAAATAATAATTTTATTTTAAATATTTCAACAACTAATGTACATCGTGGAAGTTTGTTCTGGCAGTGAAGGCTGATTAAACCTAAATTATTACATTGCTTTTTTTATATCATGATTATCAAATGGATTATATTGATTTCTCTTCAATCACATATCTTTGGTTTCTAATTCCTTAAAAACTTTAACTTTGTTGCCTTTTTTTTCAGATATTGTGCTTAATTTATTATATAATAAAATAAAAGCAGTATGTTATGGATTTTTGGCTTAGTACCTAAACAGATATAGGAACAAACTTATTACTTACAGAATAATTTATTTTCACAAGTCACATTTTGAAAGCTCGCAGAAAATACATCAATTTACATAAACTGATATTTACAATCTCTTAAATTAAAATTTATATTTTAATCAGAATTGTAAAAAAAAGAGTTATTCATATAAGTATTAACAGACAGTAGGCTCAAATATAATGTGTATGTATAATATTTTATTTGTGTGAATGTGGATGTACCTATACATACAAATACATATATTTGTATGCCCTGGATACTGTTTATAATGACAGATAAGGAAAACTAAAAGAAATGATATACTTTTGTCATTGTAGACAATAAATGCTAAAATTTGGTATTTCAGTGATTATAAAATTAGGTCCGAAAGTTTAAGAAATATTTTCACTTACATAAAGTTAATTTTATATATATATATATATATATATATATATATATAAACAAATGAAAATAAAGAATAATAAAACATAACTATTTTCACTTATACTTTTTAATTAACATGAAGAGAAAATAAGATTAAATCTTTTATTTTAAAAGACTTTCTGTTGTTTTTTTTTAATGCGAAGGATAGGTTCAGAAAGATGGAAAATATTGTAGTTTTACTTAGGAAGCATTTTGGTTGTAATCATTGATTTAATTTTGTGTTCATATTTAAACATTGGGACCTGAATATCTCTCTTTTTTTTTTTTTTTTTAATATTCAACAAGCTTGGGAATTGATTTCTATTAATTCCAGTTTATCAAGAAATATGATTCATTTCTTGAGCTAAAGCTCTAGTTTATTCATTCTCCATTTGTCAAAACATGCATAATTACATATAAAAATAAAGTTAAAATTTTCTATTTTGGTCTTCTAAAGTTAAAATTGATAACAATAAAGCAAAGATTGAAAGTAATAAAAAAAAGTAATGATGAAGAAGAAAAGGATCTAATGGCTAGAATTATAAGATAAAGTAACACTAACTATTCAAGTCAATGGTTTCACAGAAATTTATTTATAAGATTAATAATTGTTATAAACTGAGGTTGTTTGTATGTAGTTATAAGCTGTGTTATAGTATGTGGTCATAAGCTATGGTGTTTGCATGTAGTTATAAGCTGTGGTTGTTATTTTTAGTACATATTACATCATTTTAGAAGCTTGGGACGATGCATTATTGTTTATATAAATTTTATGTCATAATAAACAATATCCAGTAGTTGAATGTGTATTCATGGACATATAGTCATATATATATGTACATATTTATATACACACATCTGTATATATATTTCTAGTAAAAGATCTACTTCTCCAATAACTACTTGTAAATTAAACTACGTGTTTTAATCAATTCACTCACATTTCATTAAATGAGCAAAATTTATTCAGTTATTTATGTAACATAATTCAGTTTTAAGCATATTTTAATCTTTACCTCTTTTTTTTAAGTAGTCATAATATAAAAGTTGTTTAGTAAACTTGGTAAAGAACATTCATATGAGCAATAATTTATTTAAAGATTTCATAGTTTCCATCAGGTTAAGCATACATAATGTATATTATTTAATTATTTTTTAGAATTTAGCTATATCCATTAATTATATTTTAAAAAGATCCTTTTTCCTTTTTTTTTATTTTTCTAATTTGAAATTATTATTACCTAAAAGATCTAGCCTAAAATTCATTCTCTACCTTTAACGACCAAAACATTTTTTTGGCATTTATAGTATTTAATTTTTGTGTATATATGTACAAATTAAGCCAACAAGGCATGTGCTTTAATATTTGTTTGGTAAGTAAAGGTAGCGAACTATGGAATACTGTTTACATTTACTTTGGCAATTCTGCTGTATGTTGTAGACTAGACAGTTGTCGAATTGACTAATCGATTGTTTTGGTTGTATCACAGTCTTGTTATCTCTGGTGCTTGTGCCTGATTTACAATCCTTCTCTCAGTCTGACTTGCCTTATCTTTAGAATGACCGTCCAAGCAATCACAGCCAATACTTGAATCTGAATATTCTGGAAGAAGCAGTAGACTTTCTGAAGATTTGTTTGGTAAAACATATTTTGGAGGTTTTCGCTCTACATAACCATATCCAAAACCATAGCCACCAAATGCTTTAGTTGTAAGGTTGTCCCATGATTTGGGTTTAGCTTCCCTTTGTGAAGAATTTGACTTCACAGAATGCTGCCGAGTAATTTCCCCTTGTGGTTCTCCCCAAAACAATGTATCTGTGCTCAATGAAGTTGTATATGATGCAGCACTGCTATCATTGTTCTCCACTTTGCCACTTTTTTCATGGTTACTGTTCATTTCACTCGATGTACAGGAATGCAAACTACACTGGCTTACCAAGTTAAAATATCTGCAAAAAAAAAAATTAAAATTAATTAATTCAGGTAGGTAAATTATTTATGAATTTAATTCTGATTTATCATAATTATTAGGAATAGCTAATTTAAATAACGGAATCAATTTCATTTAACATAAATTTATCAAAACTATTTTGAAGTGCTGCTCTTATTCCAACAAAGTTTGCCAAATTATTTTCAGTTAGGAATTAAGGCCAATAATAAATACATAATAAATTAGTCTAATAAATCTGGAATATTTAATGCTTATTAGATGTATACTATTGAAATAGTATTAGAGTGTTAGACTGTCTTAAATCTATTTTTATTGATTTTGAGATCTTAAATCGAACATGCTGAATTCATTGACACTATTAAAATATGCTAAGTTAGGTCTTGAATGAGAATAAAGTATTTGTAAATTTTTTTTTACCAATAACAGCTCTGTGCAAGATATATATTTTGTTGATGGAAATAAAATGGCATCTTACTTTTGGAAATTGACAATAATATTACCAGACAAACAAAGTTGTGAAGAGCTGACAGTTTGATCTTGTAATAAAGGAGAAGTATTCTCCTAATTAAATATTATAAGAATAAGAAGTGGATAAGAATGGGCTTCATAGCATGAATAAAATAAATAATAATTATAAAAGGCTTAATGATCTTGAACATTTGATGCTGATATCTCCGATTGTTGTCTACATATTTCCATCCACTGACCGCCTTGCAAATCCCATTCCTCTAGATCAGTCTTAACACAAGTCTACCCCTTGGATGCTTACCAGTTTGCTTAATGTTTATTAACTTATTAAGGATTTGTTTGCTACTAAGCAATTTTACTCACCCATTTTATTTGTCATAATTGTTTCACCACGATAATATTTACTGACAAATTGTAATTAGGTCACACAATTTGGCTTTACGTAGCCATTTAAAGTATGTGGTTGACTTGTCTTTCTTTAATGCAATACTTTACAGAATTAAATGTTTTCAGAATACAATATTTTATGTAAGTAAAAAAGTTAATTGATGGAGGTCAAGATTTCATTCCACAGGACTGGGTGATTTTTTTTAAGTTCATGGAGAGAAAAGTAAAGAGCACAGACCATGAAATCGTAAGATTTTCTTTTATTTTAAAATTTATCCAAAGATCACTTTTCCCCTTTTATCAATAGAAAACTTTCTATTTCAAAAATGATGTGGTTACAGCTGAGAAAATGAAATCCTATTCTTTATTTTAAAAAATTACAAAATTTTAACACAGAAGAAGTGTTCTAGGAAGCTGAAAAATAAAATAAAACAAACAAATAGCAATTAAGTTTTCTGATATGATTCCAGCAATCAATAGTTCAGCTCCTGCAATTACCAAGAGAAGCATAAAGATATGATTAGTGTGGTAAAAGTGGATCAGTCTGCTTGGTTAGTGACATTTCTGAAGCTGAGCCAATCCATTTTAATATCAGTTTTTTATAGAAAGAATGAATGAAACATCGGCACAAGAAAATAAATATAATTTATTAATTTTTACTTTGTCCTTTCTTTGTCAGAACACCCGAACTAACTTTCTTCAATATATCTAAGAAAATCAACTATTCATTCACTATCATAAAAAATTAATAATAATATTGTTTTTAGGTTTTTATTACAATACATTAAATCCCATTTAAACCTTGTTTTTTTCTTATGTTTTGAAAATAAAACTTTCATTGTTTCTTTCTAAACCTAAAAAAATATCTCATAATAACAATAATTAGCTATAACTTCTTCCTGTTGATATCCAAGAAGCCTAGATCAATCTGAGAACCAAAAAATTCAAATACCTGAGTCCTACGATTATAAAGACCAGACAGACCTAAGCCCAGCAGACTAATTCAATGAAGAAGTGTCAAAAGAATTTTATATCTAGAATCATGTTCATTAATCTATTCTATCAAGAATATTTTCTGTATATATACAAAATAAAGTTTTATTGAAGAAATCTCAAAATTTTTAAAAAATACTGTAAAAAGATTGGGAATATCCAAGTTTTCTACAATTTATATAAAATTGACAATACAGAGTTAAAACAATCGAGTTCTTAGGTATAGAAACATCTCTTGAAATATTAAGTATTTAAAATGCTAGTTTTCAAGATAAAAATTAATACAAGGTGAATGGATATAACTTAATGAATGACAATCTTAAATAACGAGGAATATCAATGTCAAACCAAAATAAAAAACTTAAAAATAAGAACTCATACTTTATTAGCTACAAATAACTATGTACAGAGGAGGCGGGGTGCGTGCACACGGGGTTTTATTTTCACGGGCTAAAGTGCGTGCACAGCACCGCTGTGTCCCGGCAACCTGATATATGACTGAAATGATATAAAAATAGTCACAAGTTCATGTCCCAGTGCCGGGGAGTCTTTTAAATCCTTGCCCACACCCCCTTGCCCAGGGAAAGCTTGTAGAGCCTTAACGGTGAGGAAGGGGAGAACCCCCCAAAAAATAACTATGTACAAGTTTAATGTTAAATTATTTCTCCTAATTACAATTGTTCCCTCATATTTTTTCTGTGACAGGAAAGATTTTAAATCCCGCAGTTCATAGATTAAAACACGGATCCTTTCTACCTACTACTCTGCATTTCATAATATATTTTTACCTTCTACTTGACTGATGATGATGGTGGTAGTGTCGATGTGAGGATCCTTGCCCAGAACCAGATGTGTAGCCAGAAGGGCAGGATTGGCCTGATCTGTTGCATTTATTTTCTTTCCATTCCTCTGTGGAGTTAAACATATTATAAGGTAAAATAAATTTTATATTTTAGTTAAAATATTAGTTATTATCCACCTGAAATCTCTTATTTCAAGAATTATTTCCATCTTTGTTTTGATGGTTGATAAATTTAAAGAAAAGTTTGGTCAGCAATCAGTTCTCAAAGTAACCACCACAATATCTGTACTTTTAAGATGTAATTTTTTTATCTCAAAAAAATTTAAAATACATTTTTTTCATTTTCATTCCATTCCCATTTTAGACTCTTATTACCAAATTTTGTTTTTGTTTCTGTTCGTAGTCATATTCATGAGACAGAAATAATAATCCTTGTTTCCTTGTTAATCACACTTAAGGATTGTAGGAGTTGGTAGAATAAATAGCTGCAGAGCCATGGACCGAAGCCAAGGACCAAATCTATCAACAAATGTTCCTGATATAACTACTTAACTGACCAACTTCATAAATGAAATGAAATGAAAATATTTTTATTCTGGGACTGTTGTCCCTTTAGAACAAATTATAAGTACAGAGTGAATGCCAGGATGGCCGTACATAAATTAATTATTTACAAAATAATAATTGATTAAAAATAAAAATACAGATAGAAAGAGAAAGAGAGAAAACAGCATATATATATATATATATATATATATATATATATATATATATATATATATATTTATAAAACAAACAGAAACTAGAATAACATAAGTAAACCGGAATAGTCTCTAGGGATACTTACAGAATTCTCTATTCTAAGGTACATTTCATGAACAGTTTGATTGGAGAAGGAGTGTGTTTAAGAAGAGGAGAAGGTGTTTAAAAAGGAGAGATTTGAAAGAGAAACTGATTGTACATGCCTCATATCAGGAGGGATAGAATTCCAGTAGGACACAGCTTGGATTACAAAGGATTTGTCAAACGCATCAGTTCGGCGAGGAGGAAGATAGAGGTCAGAAGTATGGGATCCAGTAGGATGGGATTGAATGGAGTACTTCAATTGCAGGCTTTGAAAAATGTAGGAGGGTCGCTGAGTTCTGATCACCTGGTATAGAAAGGTAGCAAGGAAGTAGGTGGGCGGGGTGGCCGAATGGGCTAAAGCGTGTGCACAGTACCACCGTTGCCCAGCAACCTGACATATGAATCTAATGATATAAAAATAGTCACGAGTTCGCGTCCTGGTGCCAAGGGAAACTTTTAAATCCCCGCCCACACCCCTATAGCCTTAATGGCGAGGGAGGGGAGGAAGCAAAAAAAAAAAAAAAAGCAAGGAAGTACATACAGTGGTTGGATGGATTGAGCCACTTCAACTCTGTTTAATAATTGGTTATATGTGTATCTCTTGAGATTCCGAAAACAAAACGTACTGAGCAATTCATCAAGCATTTAAGTTTGGCTTGGAATTCTCCTGAGAGTCCACCATACACCAGACAGCCATAGTCAAATTGGAGGAACACTAGAGAGGAAACCAGGAGTTGATGGGACTTATTGTATAGAAGGAGATATCACAGGCAGTTGAACTGTTTCAGGGTAGAGATAGTGCGACAGAAACTTTGGGTGATGTGTGGTTTCCAAAAGGGGGTTTGATCAAAAGTAACACAAAGGTTTTTTACAGAAGTATGGAATGAGATAGATGAGTTGTTCAGGAGAAAATTGAGGAGTGAGGGAGATCCGATGAGGATGGCTTTCGTTTTCTTGGCATTTAGAATGATCTGATTGCGATTCGCCCTAGCACAAATTCTGTTTATATCTTCTTGTAGTTTTTTAATAGCACTAGAGGAATCAGTTGGATTGAAGTAGAGGTAAATCTGGACATCATCAGCATTCAGCCCTGCCCAAGCGTTGGCCCTGGAGCTAAGGGACACTGCCAAAAAATCTAATATCCTCAAAATTCACATCTTTCAATCAAACATTTTGAGAAAAATAGCAGACAAATGATTTGTTACACTAACACTTAGACCTCCAATCGGTTTCAGATACTGCAACACAGTAATATAAAAACATCAATCAACCAAAGACTGACTTACAAAACAAACCCATTAGCCCAAATACTTATTTCCACCACAAATCCGTACATCCCACTCTGACGACTTTTATTTAAAGCATGGCCAAGAGATTTTCTAACTTAAACCTAATCCAGAAATGTGTACAGATTTTCTTTTAGTAAAACTTTGCAGATAGTAAATTTATCTATTTGTATCAATAGTAATAATCACTGCTTGTTTCATTTATATTTTGTATACTGCATAAAGGAAGCGTTGAAATATAGATGATTTTAGATCTTTCATAATTAAAAATATTTAAATAAAAGGAATTATATCTATGACTTAAAAATATAATGATATAAATGATAGTATTTGCTATGAGTTATAAAATTATAGTTATAAAAACATTTTGGAACAATATTTGGTGTATATAAAATATAGGTCATTTAACTTTCTAAAATTCAATAAAGGTAAATTTATGATTAACAGGTATAAGAGAGCTATAATAACATTATAATTAATGCAAAAAGTAGAAAAAAAATTACATGCATTTTATTAAGATAGTTCTCTACTTGGGAGAAAACTTTTGAGGATCGCTATTATGTTAGGCACTCATGCAATATACTAGTAAACTAGAGCATTTTCATGCAGATCAAGAGGTATTTTAGTATGAAGCATTTGAATTTTGGGTGAAATCGGGGGTTGTGAAACATGTGCTCGTACCCCTTTCACAATGAGATGATGATGAAGATTTCTTTGATTTGTGATGGTGCCTCCTTCTTCTTGAAGGGACGCAATGAGAATTGCAGCAAGGGCTTGCAAGGTCATAGGCTTCAAGGCTTGTGTTGTCCTGAGGGCTTGTGGCACTCTGCATACAAGGGTTGCAATGGTGGCTTTTCTGGCTGCTGCTCCTTGCTACAAACACACCACCCGACAGGAAATAGTGAGGGTTCACGTTACTAGCAAACTGAATGCCCCTTAACAAAATTATGTGCTTTTCTACTAATTACAAACTGAATACTAGATATTCATAATGTCGATAAATAATTTTTAATTGGTGCAGGTTAGCTTTGAAAAATGAGGTACTATCAACGACTAATTAAATTCAATACTAATAATTTAGAAAACTGCAAATGACTAAAATAGATAGTTTAAAGTGCAAAGTATCAGCAATTAGAAAACCTTACCCTTTTAAGCAATGAAAGTTTTAATGAACAATACTAACACAATTATAAGGAAAGAAGCTTTGAAATTTTAAATTAACCTTCTACAGTTGGATAAATACCAAGACATAATATTAAAAATTTACTACACAGTACTAATGTATTGAGGATATGTCAAATATGGATGTAATTTAAATGTAATAGATTTAAATTTTTCAGGAAGGTAGCTGGCATTTTAATCAACAAAAGTATTTTGCTTAATAAAAACTGCTAAATTTAATCTGTGACTTTTGATTGTGTTAAAAAAATATATATAAAAATTAATTAAATGGAATGGAAATTTTAATATAAGAAATCAACAAACATTAAATAAAAGCATTCATGAAAATTGATCATTATTATTTTTTCTTTGTGCCACATGATTTGAAAATTATTAACAAAAGGAAACACAAAGGTTATAAAGTTGAAAACACATACAAGTAAAATAACAATATACTTACCCTTTGACTGTTTTGAATTGGGTGTCGCTGCTGCTATACCATTATTTTGATGGTAACCTCGGGGCTCATGTCCAGTGCTGCTGGCTGAGCTTCTACGAACAACAGCTCTTCCTGCATTTGCTTCAGAACGACTTTGATAAGGACTGAAAATATATGATACAGACTGATGAAAGCTTGTTTAATTTATATTCATACATTTATGGAAATTATATTATTTATGTTTATTTCTTCAGTAACCTATTTGTATCTAAACCTGCAGAAATGTACGCTGCAAATTGAAAAGCAATAGCTGAAGATGCAGAGGTGGAGAAGGCTGGTCCAGGATCCCAAAGATACAAGGTCTTAAAATCCCCCCAAAAAATGTTAAAAAAAAAAATAATTTTTCCTTTGTGTCAATTTTGTCAAATAATATAAAAATTATGGTTATTAACAAGTTAGGCTATAAACTGAATGGGAGTGGGCTTGTTGAGAGCACGCAGTTGACTCTTTCCCTTCTTTTCCTAGGGTTAAAAAACCAATGTGGTCTTTAAACTGGGTTTTAACTCATACAAAACTTAAACTGTTTATTACCATAAATCTTGGATTAAATTATAGATTGAATGAGTAAAAAATAATTTAAAAAACTTCAAAGCAATAACAGTTTTAAATCACAGATTCTAGTTATATTTACATAATCACTTACAACACAAGAAGGAGATAAATAACTATTTAAAATTCCTTTTAAGTAAGTGACTTTTTCAAGGGAATTTTCAAATTTCAACTGCTTCTGTCTAGATGTTTTTATTAAGAATTAAAAAATATATATGTATATATTGTATTTAAATCTATCATTCCATACCTTGGCCAAGGAGGTAAATATTCAGAACTACTGTTTGGAGGTCGAATGATATAAGCTCGCCCTTGCTGGTCCACATATTGATACTGAGGATATACCATAACAAGAGGTGGTCCAAAACCAGGAGGTGGTGTAGCACGAGCCATATCCTCTGTTGAAACAGTTGGCCGGCAATATCCAATCGCGTCACCTAGAGAGAAATTAATAAATAAGAAATCCAATTTTTAATTGCATAATTACAGGAGAGATGGACCAGATTGTATCTAGATTTCATTACTATTCAAGTTGAATTTTAATTAAAAAACTAAATTCATTAATCCTATAAATATTATTATCTTCTAATTTGTAGAAAAGTTTTGAGTTAATAGAATTTTTTAATTTTTAGTGGAGTGGTTCATCTCACTCAAGCGTCTATCAAGGGTGAAATGGACCAATATTAAATAACACTTGTTTTAAGTAAAAGAATAAATGCTATATTGTGAATTTCTTGTTCTTACTGTAAGTAATAATAGTTGTAGAAAAAAAAAATGTACGATTTAACTCAAAATCTTGTTTAAAAAAAAAAAAAACTTGAGAAATCATAAAGGTTAAATATACCTAGGCCAAGATTTAAAAAAAAACTAAGTCATTGAATTAGAAGTATTCATTAAACCTAGTAAAAAAAAAAAAATTAGTTTCAGTTTAATAACTCTATAACAAATCCAAATGTATCTTTTTAAGCAAATGTTTGTTGATGATCATATTATTTTTTATCATCATATTCCACTTTTCACAATAATCAAAGTTGTGATTGTAGCTTAAACAACTTTCTTGACACTTATGAGAACACATCTCAATGCGTTCTCATTAGTACCAAGTTTATGCACTTAATCCATTTTGTTTTATTCCTGCCACTGTAGTTCTTCAAGAAATGTGTTCATTCTTTTTCATCTCAGCCTTCTAATATTCAATCACCTTTTTCGTACACAATGTCATTGATGTTGTTACTAGATTCATAAGCCCAATATTCATCTTTATTGTTTTTTGTATATTCTGTTTATATTGTTGTCTTTTTTTTTTTTTTTATCTTACACGCTTATTTCTCTCTTCATTTTTTTTTCTGATTCTTGCAATGTTTTTGCAGGGTTCGAAACAGTTTAACAATTTGGTGTCTTTCTTTGTATTACTTGTACTTCTTGCAAAAAAGGTACTGAAGGAATCGTTTCAAGCATCTCGGATGGTGTCAATTTAGATGAGTTTGTTAAACAGAAATTTGCTGGAAATGAGATTCTTTAATATACCTAGGTGATATGTTATTATTAAATGGCGTTACATCCAAATCATTCGAGACTTGGCCTGCTCCAGCATGGATCTCCAGTTCTCCCGGTTAGTTGCTGCAGCCTTCCAATTTCTGACACCAAGTAGTCTACATGCATCAGCAGCCACACAGTCTTGCCAGTGCAAACATGGTCTTTCCACTCTTCTGTTTCCATATACAGGCTCGTTCATAGATCTCTATGGGGGTGCATTGATATATATATACGTGCAACATGTACTGCCCAGCGTAGCCTTGCCAGTATAATGAATTGGCTCACATCCAGGTCATTAAATAATGTCTTGATTTCAATATTCGTTCTCCTCCTCCAATTTTGTGATGTTACCTGGACCCCTCTGAATATGCGTTGTATAACCTTCCTTTCAAATCTGAGCAGGGATTTCTCAAGTGTTTTAGTTAAGGTCCAACTCTCTCAGCCATATGTGAGTACTGGTCTAATGAGTGTTTTATATATTCTTATTTTGGCCTGTCTCGACAACATTCCACTGCCAAGATGCCTCTGGGGGAAGAAATAGCACCGATTAGCCACTGCGATTCTCCTGTCTATCTCACAATCAATGTTATTTTGTGAATTTATGAGTGACCCAGATATATGAATTCATCAACATTCTCGATTCCACACTGTTCCAGCCATGTTTGGTTTTCCCTTGTCATACGTGAGGATAGGGTGGACATATATTTTGTTTTGGATGCATTAATAATAAGACTGATTTTGGCTGCCGACTCTTCCAGGCTTGTAAAAGCTTCTTGTACTGCCGCAAACAAAATTCCCATTATATCAATATCGTCCGCATGTCCAAGTATTTGGGTCATTCGATTTAGGAAGGTTTCTGTAGTCTGGATACCAGAATCCCTTATGACTTTTACAAGAGTAAAGTTGAATACCAGACATGGTAGAACGTCTCCCTGCCTTACCCCTGTCGATGTTCTAAACTCCTTTGATAAATCACCTTGTACTCATACAAAACACTCGTTACCCTCCATTGTCATTCTAATAAGCTTACAAGTTTTGTAGGTACATTAATTTCTATCACTGCTTTGTATGCTTCCCCATGCTTTATAGAATCATATGCTTGCTTGAAATCAATGAAGATGTGATGTGTACCAATTTGGTATTCTTTGGTGGTATGTGTAGGTGATGTAAACTAGCATGAGATATTTAGAAGGAAATGCCTAATCTACCTCTCTCGATCATCCGTCATCTCACTCATTCGACATTGGCCATATGGGCTCTTAATGGTGATTTTAGGTATAATCGTACTGATATTATACAATTAATTTTAAAATTGATTGTATTTGATGAACTTAACTTGTTTTCTAATATCATATGATTAGATAAAAAAAAATATGTGAGCCCAAAATATAGAATGATGATTTTTTACAATATAGTAATATTTATAATAAAATATTTGTTTTAAATAATTAGGAAGATAATAATGTTTTCATAGATTTAGAGGGGTTGTAGTGTTGAGACATCAATTAACATACAAAGACTAAAGTGAGATTTTGACGTTTATGGTCGAACAAAATCATTGGGAATTAGCAGGTTATAAAAAGAATATAAAAATTCATAAACTTGTTTTTAATTAAGCGTTAGAACATGGATTGCAAATATTGTTACAGTATTTCTATAATGAAAAATGCACTAACCAAGTTTTATATTTTTGAATATTTTTAGGTCTCTCATTCCATATCAACTGAATGAGATGGAGGGATAAATAAATATAGAATTTTAGTAAGTACCAATTGTATATAAAAAAATATAAGAAACATACCATTCTCAACCTGGTTCAAAATTGGATCAATTGACTTTCCTCCTTTTTTTCTTGCTGGAAGACTATGTGTTTTCCACTTTCCTTCAAGCAACTCTTTCTCCCTTACACAGAGCCTTTCTAGTTCTGACATTTTAGTTTGAAGTAGTCTTTGAAGTTGAATATAGCGCATATGAAGCTCAACCTGTTTGAAGATATGTCTTATCTTATTTTCAATAAATAAAAGTTTTAATTGATTAAATATTCTTAAAGCAAATTGTTATTTTCTATTATATAAAATGGTAAATGATATTTTTTAAAACATTAAAATTACTTTCATTTATGAATATTAAGCTCAGTTTAAACCAACATAGGCTCAACTGTTCGGAATAATTATTGCACTAATAATTTTTAAGATCTCCAAAATTATCATGTAATATCATACTGGAAAAATAATCAACCATTCATTACTTACATTAAACATAATTAAAACTTAAAAATTATTAATAGAAACTCGTGAAATAAAGGAACTTTTTTTTTTAGTAATAAGAAAATTATGTCCTTAGTATATAGATTTCTGGTTTGACATAACAAATAAACTTGATTGCTTACTTAAGCCTATTTATGGAAAAAAAGAATTCTTGAATGCCTAATCCTGGCTGGCCAAATTAAATTTACTTTTGAAAGAAAATTAATAGGAATTGTCATGGTGGGATCTGTAGTTGTGATTCCTTAAGAATGGGAACTCTTTTGTTACCTAAACTACTGCCTAGGTGCTTCTTGAGTTTATTTAACCTTAAAAAATCAAGGTAAAAATCAGATGGCTACAGATATTTGACTATGCTTGATAAAATCATGCCAAGAATCAGGCACCTCTACAAGAATCTGTGCCCCTTTTGTTGGTCATCAGTTTCTTAGAAAGTTAAATTTTTATATATTTTTTCCCCTCTGTATTATTTATTTATTAAAAAAAAATCCTAATTACTATTTGTATTTAACAGATTATGATTTTTGATAATAATGACATTATCTGAAGAAGATTTGGACTAGATTGGTGTAGTTCAATTAACTGATATTAACAAGCCAGCTGTAACTTAGGTTCTTTCAAAGGAATTGAAAGTTATATGAGAAAAATAAGGCGGTTCAGCAAGTGCTAGATAGAGGGATAACCAGATTTTTTTGGCTCCTTGCCTTATTAATTTATTTTTCACTATAACTAATCAAATGAACAACTAATGGAGAAAAAAAATACATTAAAATTGCTATTAGGAAATAAGAAGATAACAATAAAATTATAATCTATCAGCCAAATGATTTGCAAAAGCATCCTTCTTACCCCAACTCACAAATTATGTAAGTTCACTTTTCAAAGGATGTAATAATGGGCATTAGAACAATTTTGTCTGTTTTGATTCGCTAATGATAGAAATATGCATTATGGAAAAGAAGGAGCAGGGTAAATGCAAAGAACAATGTATAAATATTCACAAAGTAGTATCTCTCCAAAACTAAAGTTTATGTAAACTAAATTTTATATTATGAATGGAGAGAGTAACATTGAAGCTTGTATAGAGTAGATCTATTTAAATAATTACATAGAAAATAATTTAATGTATACAATTATAATAATCTTATTTTTTCTTATATATGTTTTGTTATACAGAACTATAAAAATTTAACTTATTTTTTTAAATAACAGGAAAAACAATTTAGATTAAATACAGACCTTTCGAACACAGTCTTCAAATAGAACAACCATCCTCATCCGGGAATCACAGTTTTTAATAAAATTGACTAAAGTTTTATGGTCAGTTTTCTCCATATCATGACCATTTATTGAAAGAATAACATCACCTAAAAGTAACGAATATCTGATTGATTATAAATTAATAAACAATGGTTTATCAGGTTATATTTGGGAAAATCTAATTAAAACAAGATTTAACTTTTACCCAAGGAATTTTACACAAAACTGGAGTTTTCTCTCTATATGTCTTCCAAAATCATTTCTTTCAAATTCTTCACGATTAAGAACAGATACTGACATAAAATGGCGGTTCAAAAGAACTCGCCTTCCTGAAGATTATCTCTCCTTCAAAGTACTCCGAAACAGCACTCAATCTGCTATATGCCGTGCCAAATCCCTTCACTTCCATCAATGCTTGCCCAGAACTCCAAATTTGAAAGCCCAAGTGGGCAATCCTCTGTAAATTGTGCATAAGTAAACCCAGTGTATCCCTGTCTCAGCTGAAGTACTCAATACTCACTTTGTCTCCTCCTCCTCCTCCCATTCCCTTTCCTAGTACCAACTCCGACTGCCATTCTTCCCTCCTTTAATCCCAATCATTTCTTCTTTTCTCATATTACTCCCAAGGACCTCCTTAATTCCATTCATAAATCCCAAACCAATGATTTTGGACCAGACAACATAAAAACTCATAAAATCCAATCCTATACCTCCCAATCTTCTCCTAAACAACTCACCGTTCCAAACTTCAGTTAAAAACTTTAATGTTATTTTTGATCAAATCCTCTCCTGGAAACCACACATTTCCCAAATTTTCCATCGTACTATTTCTACTCTAAAACATTTCAACTGTCAATGGTATCTACTTCCATACAAAACCCGTCAACTCCTGGATTCCTCTCTTGTTTTACCCCACTTTTACTATGGTTGTATGGTATATAGTGGTCTCTCAGGAGAACTCGAAGCCAAACTTATACGCCTAATGAATTGCTCGATTCGCTTTATCTTCAGGATCTCAAGAGATACGCATATTACTGAGTATTACGCTGAGTTGAAGTGGCTCTATCCATCCTACCGCTTTCAGTATTTCCTTGCTACCTTTCTATACCAGGCCATTAGAAGTCAGCCAGAAACCCTCTTATATTCTTCAGAGCCTACAATTCAAATCCTACATTCAATCCTGTCCCACCAGATCCCGTACTTCTGACCTCTATCCTCCTCTTCACTGAACTGCTGCATTTGACAAATCCTTTGCAATTCAAGCTGTCTCCTTTTGGAATTCTATTCCTTCGATATCCAACATGCACAATCAGTTTCCTCATTCAAATCTCTTCTTTTTAAGCATGTACTCCTTTCCCAATCTGATTGATCACAGAATGTACATAAGAGAACTTCTTAAGATCCCCAAGAAACCATGTTGTTTACTTATGTTATTTTATTTTCCTTTATTTAGTCTATATATATATATATATATATATATATATATATATATATATATATATATATATATATTATATATATATATATATATATATATATATATGCTTTTGTTTTGTTCATTTTTCTTCCTTTATTTTTGTTTTTAATTAGATATTATTTTGTAAATATTTAATTTAAGGTATGGCCTCACAGGCATTTTCTCAGTATTTATAATTTGTTCTAAAAGGGACAACAGTCCCAGGATAATAAAAATATTTTCATTTAATTTCAAAATATCGAAATTCAAGGATTTTGATTTAATTCAGTTATGGTCTTGTTGGGTTCTTTGTATTTATTATCTAACTGAATTTCATGAAGACTTCCTGGAAAAGTTTTTTTTCATTCCTACCCATCCAACATTTTACAATGTGTGCCACAATATTAAGAGGCAACACAACTATACTCCTTCTCTCCTATATATTGTAACCTTAATAATAATTATTTCTATATGCTATAAGAGCTGATGTTTACAATGATTTCCTTCTCATCTGTAAATTTTGATAATGACTCCAAAAATAAAATGATGATTTTATTCATCAGCCATTGTTTTTACTTTTTCAGTTTAGGAGTAAATAATTTCTGGGTCCTATTCTCATACCAGTGAATGAAGTTTAATATCTTACGTGATTAGCTAAGTATAACGATTATTGCCACTTTAAATCTTTCTCTCCTGCTTCATTTTAACAATAGTACTATGGATAATTTGAAAATACATAATCTGCACTACTTTTCTAATTTATGTTTTCATTTACAATTAGAGCACTATATATATATATATATATATATATATATATATATATATATATATATATATATATATATATATATATATATCAAATTTTGAACAAAATATTAAGAATTACAAATTAAAAACTTTTATATTTTAATGTGTATATCTATCATTGTCATCTACATGTGTCTGCATACTGTTAAGCTGTTAAGAATAAAAGTTTATAAATTCAACATATTGATTAAATTCATGTTACTTTTTTAATAATATAATAATTTTGTTCTTGGGTAGTTTAGGATAGAGTTATATTGAATATTTTATAGGTGGGTAAAAAATAGGCAAAAATTAGTTGAGGAGAAAAGTCAACATATGGTTATAAACATATAATTAAAATAGCATTAAATTAATTAAAATGAGATTAGTTTGGTTGATATTATGAGTAAATGGAAGTTAAAATATAAAACAAAAGTATTAGTTAGTTTCTAATTGGAAAATAACTGAAAATGAGCCATTATAGTGTTCTAACATTAATAAGAAATTATAATTTAACCAAAAGTGTATCAAATAAGACAAGGAGTGGTAGATCATAAAAACTATCAGATAATCATAAGCTGAATTTATTAAAACTTATCAGGTGTAATCCACAAAAATAAATAAATAAAGTAAAATAAAAATAAACATCTAAAGCTTTGGCTCAATATGTTGTTTCTATAAGGGAAATTAATATGGATCCGATAACAGTAAGCAGAATGTTGGGAGAACATGGGTTTTTCAACTGCGTGGCAAGAGGATAGCCATTAATTCTATCTAAGAATGAAAAAGAAGTGATCGAAATTAGCAAATTTACACTAAAGTTAAGATTTTAACTATCGGAACAGGTATGTAATAATGATAAAGAGGTTGTTATGTTTCAAAATTAAATTTAGTTGTGAAGGTATGTAGTTATAGTTAGCCTGTGTGGGAGATCAAGAATTCATAAATATAATTATGATATATTTGTCTCTTGGGATGTTTTAAAAAAATAAATACAAAATGTCTGTTGAAAAGTTAGGTTTAAGTGTCTGGATTTTCCAACAACCCAATGAATACAACTCAAGTATTAAAACAATATTTAGTATATAATGCATCTCAACCATTTCATACTCGTATCACCACCTAATTTAAATGTTATTGAGCAGTTCTGGAATGATATTAAGTAGAATATTGTAAAATATAAAATTAAGAATAAAAATGATTAGAAAATGTATTAGTGCTAGCATAGGCACAGACTTTCCATTTCGATTGGAGGAGAGGAGAAGGACAATACAAAATAAAAAAAATTGCTGTTCATATTATATTTCAAAATTAAACATAATTATTGTGAAACGAGCAAATGTAATATTGAATATTTAAAAATAAATTTATACATTTGTCTGGAAGTTGCAGAATTTTTTTATGTGTGCATGGATATACTTGAAAATATCTGAACAAAACAATTGGATTTATTAAAATTTACAATTTATTATTCGCCCGCCCTCTCAATATTTTTATTGGGGAAGGGAGAATGATTGCCTCCTCTTCCCCAATAGTCTGCACCAATGAGTGCCAGAATGAAAAAAATTAGATTAAGGTACTACAAAAAATTCATAAACATTTGCAAAAAAATTTAATGATCTTTTTAATATTAAAAAGTTTTAAATTTAATTTACACTGGTATACGCACAATTTAAATACTTTATAAAAATTGATTAATTTCTTAACTATTAGCAGTTATGATCAGTTAATCATAAATTAATTAAGACTTGATAATATTAATAGAAAAACAAATAAAGCTGCTAAATATATATATATTTTTAAATTTAGTTATTGTTTTGGGAATCACAGTGAATAAAATTTCAATAAAAAATAAATCGAAAACTCAGTAATTAATTTTTAAACCATGAAAAGGTAAATAAAGAAAAAACATAGGTAGAAACGTTTAGTGCTTGTAACTTGCAACCTTTTTTTTTTTTATTACCCAACAAAATTATTTCTGGCCTATAAGCTATATTAAAGTCTGGTTTTAAAAAACTCTTACTTTGGTTTGGATTCATTTCTATAAAATATGTGAATAATCAGATTTTAATAATTACCTTCTCTCATCCCTGCTCGGTATGCTGGGCCATCATATTCTACATAATCCACGTATGTTATCATTTCTATTTCCTGCTCTTTCTTATAATGAATTCCATAACTCTGAAAAAAATCAACAAATAATGAAATCAACAATCTTACAAATTCCTTGAATAAAAAAAGTTATCCTATTTAGGGGATTAGAAAGTATGAGAAAGATAACTACTAAAATAATTTTTAGTACATAGTTATATAATAATTTTTTATAAATTTGTATAATTAACCACACTGATACATTGTTATTTATTTCAATATAATGCAGTTGAGACCAATAGAGGATTTATATTTAAACATTATGTACAAAACTAAAAATCAATTCATAAAATAACAATAAATAAAAATATATATACATTAATAAATCAACATCTGAATTAGGGAATAATTTGATTATTATATATTTTAATGAAACTTTTAAAGGAAAAGAACTTTTCTCTAAAAAACAACTATGTAAAGAAACTGATAAATATCAAATAATCAATTAAAAAATAGTGGATCCTAATTTAAATGAGGAAATTATTTCATTTGTTTATATTTTGAAAGATCAAGTTTTCTAAAGATTGAATAGTTAATCTTATTTAGAGTTTTTTTTTCAGAAAATTGTTTCTTCATTTTTTTGATTTTGGCACAATATTGTAGCTTTAAGACATATACACACACAAAAAAAAAAAAAATGGAAATTGTATTATATTAATTCTGTAAAATCATGCATTCAATAACTTGATGATTGGAGAGATGTTTGAAGTAAGAATAGATGAAAGCCTTTAACTAATAGACTGTTATAAGTTCCAGAACTAGAGAGTAAGTTTTTTTATGCCTGTCACAAACCTAAATGTATAGTACTTACCATCCCTGCACTAAAAACAGAAAAAAAAATTGTGAAAATTATTTAGTCAAAAATTATATATTTCGAAATCTTCAAAGAAGTTAAAATAAAAAGAAGGGACAGTATTATCAGCAGAATAAAAAAAATATGGGATTCATGGGTAGATATTAATATAATGATGATGATGATGATGAACACTATGAATATTTGACATATATAGATAACAATGTACTAAAATTATACATAAAAAAAATATAAGCTATTTATTTATCTAACTACCTATGTCTGCCATTTTACTTTTTTAAATTGACTAAATTAACTCATGATTAACTTTTTCTATTAAACTATCGATTAAAAAAGATTAATTTTCTTTATACTAATTTATTTTATTTGTTTAATTCAAATTACGAGGGTAGTAAATATAAACTGTATTCTTTCAAATTTTTCAAAAGAGAACTAAATTAATATTCAGCTTTATTATTTCACAACTAATATTCACTTCAAGGTTATTATAGAAGGGAGTTCTGAAAGCTCGGAATCTGTAGTCAAGTAAGAAGTAAAAAAAAATGAAATATGGCAAATAATTCATGTTTCATATGTAATAGCTCTGTGGTAGGGTATTGAGCTTCCAATGCTAAAGAGCCCAGGTTCGAATCCTGGCTCATGGGAGAAACATTATTTATTCTGTTTCATTAGCCGTGGAGCGACCCTGGGTAGGTAGACCCTCCCGAGGCACACCCAGCCTTTATAAAGTGGGTACCCTTAAAATAATTAATTAAGGGAAAACCTGGAGGTTGAGCATGATCTCAGTCAAATCACCTCCTTGCACTACATAGACCAAGAAACAGTGGTTTTCCTAAATAGTACTGAACCCAAGAACCTTCATGGGTTGTAGTGGTACACGTTTTTTTTTTATATAAATATGTAATATATAGTAAGGGTAAGTATTGTGATCCTGAAAATTTTCGAGTCTGAGTTTTCACTGGAAATTTTAATATCCCCTGAGTTTAAATAAACAAGTTACGCAAAATGGTCTGTGTGTATATGTCCATTTATATGTATGTGAACAGCCTAGCTCAAAAACGAAAAGTCATACGAAACTGAAATTATATTTGAGCTTTTTATAAGTCTGGGATGTTACAGCAACATTTTCGTCAAAATCGCCAACCGGAAGTGTTACTTTATATAATCGATTCAACACATTTTTACGATTTTCTCAAAAACGGATCTTAAGATTTTGATTAAACTCAGTATATCAGCGTATTATCAAGCATTTTTTATTGAGAATGTAGGTTTCATTCTCATGATGTTCTCTAACCGAGCATAACTGCTTGCAAATTTTCAATATTAGCTTCCTCTACATTATCTTTAATTTTTTTAATTTAACCTTAACTTAATTTAAGTTAAATTTAAAATTAACCATTTCAGATTAATCTTTGATATAAAAAGTAGTTAAATATAAATATGGAAGAATTTTATAATGAACTAAAGGAGAAATAAGAGATCGTAACGGATAATAGTTATGATGGAGGAACCAAAGAAATACGAGGGCGACCGAGCTCGCCCGAAACATTAAAAGAGGCATCCATAGAACATGAGATTAAAATAATATGGATTCTGACAATACTTTGAACATATACTATATGCGGTTTTCATAAATGCTATCGTTGGCATTATTCAATATTTAATTGTATAGATTACAGCGATATAAAAATTAAAATATGTATATAAGAGTAATTAAATAAATAAAAATATAAAGAAATGTAAATAAATACAGGGTATATAAATTTTACTTTCACTTCCCCTTTGTTTGAAAATACCTATTTCTTCTAAGAGGGTTGATGTGTGGTTCGCGCACCAGATTTTTGATCTGATTTTTGATTTATCGCTTCCTATTCAACAAAAAACACAACACTTAAACTCCATACTTTCCTGATTGGAACCACACCATACTCTAAATAAACTTTTAGTAGGATATACGGTGTTGAATGACTTTCTGGTCTATAGTCTGCTTATTCTTATACACACTCTATAAAAGTTACAATACAGCATTTGTATAGAGCAGTGGTGAGCAACCTAAGGCACGCCTGCTGACAAAAAGCTTCGGCAGTAGATAACGCAACAGTAATACATGTATTTTTATGTTACTAACGCTGAATAAGTGTTTTCTTGAACAGGAGAGAAACAGATAAATCTTATATAAAGGCTAAGATATAGATGGTCCTGATTAGTAATATTGTTACTTTATTATAGAAGCTATTAACGAAAAAGAGCTAAAGAGAAAGTATAAAAATATTAAAAAGAGAATTGCTGAAACAATTTTCAGTGTAGATTTTTGTTGATCAATCAATAACCCCAAGACTGAAGACAATCGTAAAATTAGATAATAGTTTTTTTATTGCTGAGGAATCAGATCTGGAAGAAAACAGCTTACGCCTGGAAAAAACCTACATAAGTCAAGAGTCGCAATTTATTGTCAAAGATACAATTTGACAACCACATTTATTCGGAATATTTTGGTAAGAGCTATTGCAGATATTACGAAGTTTAAGGCGAGTAGATGTAAGATCAATAAATAATAATTTTTTTATGTCAAGACAATTATTAGAGAATTGTGTTATTATTACTTGAAGCTAGTGTTGCCCAAAATAGGTCTTGGTCTTACACTTTGCAAGACCAATATCAAGAAAGCCAATCTGTTTTAAAACCAATACCAAAACTGGTAAAAAAAAAATCGATTTTTTTGAATAAAAATTAATGAAAAATAGTTACTAGCACTTGACAATTTTAGTTACTATATGTAAAGAATCGGTATAACCACCAATATACTTTAGCATTTAACTCTTCTAATTTTTTATTCGGGCTTAGTTAAGTTTCTCTTATCTAAAAAGTTACAGTAATTTCTCTACAATAATAATACAATAGGTAATTGCAAGACTGCGAGTGCGAGACTCTTGCGCAAGAACAAAACCAAGACTGAGTGCGCAAGACCAAGTCCCGTCTTGGTCTCGCATTTGGGCAACACTACCTGAGGTCGAATTTTGTGTACGATAAAAAGCTAAATATGCACATATTATATGTGTAATTATGTTTTCATAAACACGTAACAAAATTTGAGCAATATGTAAAGATAAGGACCCTGAAAGTTCATGAAAATTAAATAAAAAAAGACAAATATTTAAAAACAACTCTGCATTAATTTTTTTTTTTTTGCTAGTTGAAATATTAATATTGATTTAAGAAATTACAATTTATCTATTTGGGACAAACATATTTTAATTTTCTCAACTATTTTGGGTTTTAACTTTACACTTCTCTGTTGCGAATAATAAAACCTTTATTGACAATTCCTTCCCCCCCCCCTCTCTCCAAACAGAACTCAGTATTGATAAAGTCCCAATTTGCTGATTTAAAAGGTGTTTTTATTGCATAAAAAAAATTTCATCGGCCTAGGCAAGTAAACCGGATTTAAAATTAAATTTAAATAATTCAACGAGGAACCAAAAAAAGAAAAACTATGATCGCTTCGAGAATACATTTTTCAGATGATTTGTAAATATCCATTATATTTGTCACCCTTCTTCAAATAAAAATATCAGGAAGTTAATTTTTAAATTCTACGACATAAATAAATTTCTTGATATATTCCTAATTGTTTTCATAAAACTTCCATTCTTTATCATACAAGACGGTGGGGTATTGATAATCAGTTGAATAGATTCCAGAACACATCGCAACCTGTGACTACTTTAGTTTATCTCATTTGTCTGTAATTATTTAAGGCAATTCTGCATTACATAAATAAACAAAAAAAAAAAAAAATAGGAACATTAAATCATTTCTAATTTGCTGTGTTGGCTCTAATTTATTACTGGGTTGGTAAACTTCATTAAAAATTGTTACTTACAGTTTATACTTGTAGCTTAATCATACTTTGAATAAAATAAGTAAATAAAAATAAAAAGGAACGTTATATTTGAAAATCTTATCCAAGGCACCCACAGATTAGAGTTTTGACTTTAAATCGCTCCTGGATCAGAGTTGTCTTAACGGTTTAGTTTGGACGTGAGTAAAGTTTCGAATAAGAATAAAACCTACTTTTTATTCCGTTCTGATCTACATATATAGATTTTTTTTTCAAATTTCGTTCGGTTTTATTTCCATCTGCAATATATAATTCTTAAGATCGATCACATAAAAAAAAAAAATGACTTCGCAATCCATTTCAAACTGCGGTAAA